ATCGTGCTGGTGCTTTTACGTCTGCTTCTCTCGGTTCTCACATGAATGCCTAGAGGTAAATACTGCTTTTATCTCCATTTTACATGAGGAAACGGAGGCCCAGAGAGCCTCAAGTGCTCATAAATACATAATTATGTATATATCTGTCTAGCTAAACAAGGAAGTGTCAGAGCCAGGCCACACCCACACCCTTTGTCATTTCAGAGACCATGGGGGCGGGGTATGTGTGGTGTGTGTGCGCGCGCTGATGCTTCGCTGGCCCCCCGGATGGAGGGAGGGAGGGGTGTGGGTGTGTGTGTGCGTGCACGCGCCGACGCCTCTCTGGCCCCCCCAAGGGAGGGCTTTGGGAGCAGTCGCAGAAGTGCCGCACAGAGCAGAGCTGTCGCTGGTGCCGCATGGCAAACAAGGCCGTCGTATTCCGGAGGAGTCGCTCGGTCTCATGGACTGCTCTGCTCTTCAGTGAATGTGACGATGCCAAGTGTGTGTTGTCAAGCTGAGTTTTGGGTTCTGTGTCAGTGGCCTTCCACCCACCCCCTGTCTTCCGGGCCCGCAGATCATCAGTGAGGACGTCGCCAAGAAGACGTGTGAGGAGCGCCAGCTCTGTGTTGTGGCCGTGCTGCCGCACATTCTGGACACCGGTACGCCGGACAGAGGCTCCCCTACTCTCCCTGCGCGGCTCTCCCTGCCCTGCGGGTCTTTCTCGCTGATGAGCGTGGCGGACGCCTTTATCTTTACCTTGAAAACACTCTCTTTAAATTAGGAGCTGCTGGCAGAAATTCTTACTTAGACGTTCTTCTGAAGTTGGCAGACAAATACAAAAAGAAAATGTGGGGGTAAGTTACGATCTCGGTATGACTTGGCTGGGAGAGCGTCATGCTCCTCAAGTTTCTGCTTCCCACTGTGTTCTCTGTAGAATGTGTCCCTGTTTCTCTTTGGCATTTTTTTAAGTTTAGGAGGTAAATAATTACCATCTCGAAGGGAAAGAATGCAGGTCTCTGATTTCTAAGACACTCATCTGTGCCACGGTGTACATTTTTCTCATAGCAGTCATTTTAAAATGGTGGTTGGGGTCCCAGCTAGCAAGCAAAACCTGAGTCACCTCACTGGACTCCGGCACAGCTTTGGAGGCCAGACAAAGAAAGAGAAGTAGAGGGGTGTTTGCTTACCCTTTTCCAAGTGAGGGCTGATACGGCAGATTTTTCAGACAAAGTATGTCTGCCTCCTGTTGAACCTTTTGCTTCTCCTCCTCAATATCTCTTGCTGTCCCGCCTCCCTCCTGCCCCTGCTGTCCCTTTTGGGACAGGTGACCCTGCACCGCCTGCCTGGGTTCAGCGCAGGGTTGTGTGCCTACAGAACAGCGCCTTCTGGCACCCGTTATTCCTCACCGTTGTAGCAGTTGAGTAAGGAAATGCAGCTGAGCGTGTTCGTCGGTATTGAATAATGACATACCAGTAAGTTTTACAAAGAAGTTATGATGCTTCTAGAGAGCTTGCATAATCCCGCAAATGATATTAGTAGGAGTTCAGGTAATAAAGACGGAAAATTTACCAGGTTTAGTGGACAGTACTTCAGGGGCTGGGAGGAAAATTTTGTAGATCGGGGGTACTTCTGGAGATATGGTTTAGGGAATATAAGAGAGGAACTGTAGTTAAGAGCACATCTAGAATACGTTGTTTTTGTAAACTTTCTTTTTATTTCTACATCCATTTCATTCCAGAAAATATTGGGAGTGTAATCTTTTTTTTAATACCCGCTATAATTAGATTTCAACTAATTTCAAAGGGATCTTTACCCTAAAAACCAGCCTGTTTCTCTAGGTGGCTGTGGACCGAAGCTGGAGCCCAGTCGGAACTTGAAAACGCGTTGGGGATTGGAGGGTTTGGGTACCCTGCCATGGCGGCCATTAATGCACGCAAGATGAAATTTGCTCTTCTAAAAGGTTCTTTCAGCGAGCAAGGCATTAATGAGTTTCTCAGGTAATTTCTTGCTTTCTTGAGTTGTTTTTGTTTTGTGGCTTAGTTCTGTGGTGGTGTGGGTTCAAAACTAGGCTTACATAGACCAAGCAGTCGATGGAATTATTTTGCATTTGGAATTCTGGAGAATTAGATGTTTGAGTTCTAAATCATCTTCCTGTAAGAGCTATGTTCTCTTTTCTGCGGAAGGATTCTGTAGAGTGATGGCCACCTTGCCATCTTGTGCCATTGGCATTGAGCTCTTCTGATTCTCATAGAAATATCACATGGGCTAGAAGGAGCCCTTTCTCACCCATTCCCACCCTAGCACGCTTGGTGCCCCTGACCTCAGATAGTACCCCGTCGATTTCTGGCCATTAGCTCTAGAAGATTATTATGTGAAAACGAGCGTACTTCTGAAGTGACTGCAGCGATGTGCAAACAACACTAAGGGTTCCCAAACCCAGTGTTGTACAGAGCTCTCTGTCCTGCTCTTCAGCTCAGCCTAAAATTGACTTAATCACCTTCCAGCCAAATGCAAGGCATTGACACTGCACTGTTTTGGTTAATGCCTCTTCCTCATAACTGACTATCACAAAGGTGAACCTCTTCGACCCAGACCTTGTCTCCCTTCAGTACTGTAGAGCTGATAATAAGCTCTTGGTAGTTGATTAACATATATTTTGTAGGTTTTATGTATCATATACTGTATTCCTACAATGAAGTAAGCCCCAGAAAAGAAACTGTAATTAAGACAATCAGAGAAAATACGTTACTGTAGTGTAAAAAAAAAAATCTGTGTAAATGGACTTGTACAGTTCAGCCCGTGTTGTTCCGGGGTCAGCTATACTTAGAAGTATGTCATCCTTTTTCAACAGCTGATTCCAGTGTCAGAAACCATAGGAAATGTATGACGGTAATAATTACATAACAAGATGGAGCCTTTGGACTCAGTTATTGGAAACAACAGGGTCTAACCTCAGCTTTGAGTTTATTCACATTTCTTTTCAACTGGTTTTCCTTTTCTGGTTTGTCGTTTGTTTAGTACAGAGGAGGTGAATAGTTCATGGAACTGTCAGGGTTGCACCCGTGTTCTACATCACATTTGATAGTTATTGTGTACTTAATTTGTATTTTAGCAAAATAAGTTTTTCTTAATTATTGGTGATAACTGGTTTTATCTGATGCCAAGACCCGAGTAATTTCACACCCGGTTGCATTGCTGTCCTCGCTTGAAAAGATGATATACTGTTCAGGAGCAAGAGGTGAGAAATGCCTCTGCAGGAACCTATAGGCACGTCGTCATATTTATTTATTTATTTATTTGTGTGTTTTGTTTGTTTTATTTTTTTTACGTCGTCATTTTTAAAACATGGTTTCTTCATCCGGTTGTGCTTGTTTTGGTCCTTTGCGCCCCAGGGAGCTCTCATTCGGGCGGGGCTCCACAGCACCTGTAGGAGGCGGGGCCTTCCCTGCCATCAGCGCCAGAGAGCCTTGGGACGGCAAGGACGGCGTGGTGAGTCCCCGGGGCGCGCGGGGGGCCGTGTGCAGGCGGGACTTGTCACCGGGGTGCTCGTCCGGCCTCTCCGTATTCTCCCTGTCCCTGGGCAAAGATTTGTAAGCCCGGTCCTCTCCACCGGACGTCAGCCTTGGCATGCTGTCAGAAACGGGCCCTGGGTATTCTTGACAGAGACGACGAGATAAATTTCAGTAATGAGGTTTTTTTCTTGATTTCATCACCCCGAAACTGAACATTTAACCTGGAATTCACTTATTGTGTGTCTGCAAGACACAAAATTATAGCTTCAGAGCATTTATTCTAGTACACTTCTGCCCCTTCTTCCTCAGAAGGACAAGCTAAATGGCTGTTGGTGTTAAAGGGGTGGTAATTTGTTGAATTCGTACTTCACCCAAGTTCTCAGCTTTTCCAGCTATGAAATAATAGGCAGTGTTAAAAGCAGGAGGTGGGTTAGGGAGGAACGAGCTCTGTAATCTGGGGCATCTCTAGAAATGACCGCTCCGTGGTGAGCCCGTGTGCTCTGAGCCCCTCACCCTGCCTCCCCCCCCCCCCCCAGCCCCTGAGGGGCCTCACGTTGGCTTCGTTTTCCAGCTTCCCGTGGAAGACGACATTGACCTCAGTGACGTGGAGCTGGACGATTTGGAAAGAGATGAGCTGTGAGAGGCTTGGCACAGACTTGAGTTTTCTTTTCTTGGGAGCAAATTTCCCCAGCAGTGAAGGAACATTCTTCACGATCAGATGAGTCTACCAGTGGCCTTTTTAACCAAGAAGTAGCACTTGATTGGTCATGTGAAAACACTGCAACAGTGAACTTTGCATCTCAAGAAAACAATGAAAAATTCTATGAATTGTTGTAGCCAGTGAAATTGGGTTGTATTCTATCGGGTAATATTTGGAGAAAAACTGATGGGCTGTTGACGTATTTTTCCCTCCCTCTGACTGCTGCTTGAATGTTCTTGGAAGCTGTTTCTTACATATTAAGTTTTTTAATGTGATTCTTTCATTCGAATATTAATGGCTTTTTTCCATTAAAAAAATAAAATATTTTGGACAATGCCAATAAATGTATGAAATTAGTGTCCACATCATAAAAATCAGAATCCTGTGTTTAGCCAGTAAATTAATATAATGAAAGGATGACCCTGATGTCTTCCCTCCCTATAAACCTGTGATCCAGAGGACACCATCTGGAGGCTTGCCACAACACAGATCTCACATACGTCCTGCGAGGCCAAGTTCCAGCTGCGAGATGTGACCTGTGCAGTGAGTTCAGAGAGAGGGTGAAAAGCAATGGGCAGTCAGTTGAGAACTGCCTTTCATGCCCCCTGGATTTTGTCTTTGGGCCATCCCCAGTGACCGTTAGGAAATACGGCTGATTATACTGTTAGCTCAGGATTTAACGTGCTTCCTCCGCCCTCACGAGATGGCTGTTAAGACCCGAAATACGGCAGCAGGTTACCGACTCCCAGGTGGGCCCTGTTTATGTAAAGTGCAGTTTGAATTATGTTAGAATACCAGAGACAATTCAGAGGATTGAGCATTTCTTTATTGTAACTTAAAAAAAATAAATACAACTGTACCTAACTTTTGTGAGCAATTTCTCTCAAAATCTAAATTCTGTAGGGTTCTCTGGCTAAGGGAAAGAGGTGTCCGTAGGAGTCTGCGTGACCAGGAGAGCACAGTGGTGCCATTTCATCTCCCTAGTCGAGAAGACTGAGGTCGATGTGGAAGTAGACATAAGGAAAATAGTCCTGGTTGTTGAGCTGCAGGCCAGGGATCTCCACGGATGCCTGCAAAAAGAAGACGTCGTATGGGCGCTCTAAATGCAGAAACCAGTTTGCTGCCGTCTTTGTAATTTTCGAAGAGGCTCTCTAGGCTCTGACTGCATTTTCTGCCCCACACAGTGCACCCCCACCACACAGACACACACACACACGCGGCCTCTTCCCTGTTAGGCTTGCACATTTGTGAAACGTAGATCTTCTTAACAATCTGGCAATTTCCATTTTCGGAAAGTGCCTCCCACGTGGAGAGGCTGACGGCCGTGCAGAAACCCAGCTATTTCTGTCTGGATTCTCTACCTACATCCAGTATACTTGCAGCTGCTACTTGATCCAGATGTCTGAAGACGGAGTTCAGAACCTCCCTTAAACGTTTGGTGGATGACTTCTTATGAGGCTGGAGGAGCACCGCCTGGAAATTCACCGGTAGTCCGTACCTTCCCAGACAGACAAAACGTGCGAATGAACAAAACGTTACTTACGATGCAGATGTGGGTAAAATAACCCTGACAAGAAACAGAAGTTCTAGTAAGAAGAAGGCCTCGGTCAACATAGCTTAAGAAAATGAAACTCAGTTGAACGGAATGTCTAGGGTCAGAGGTTAGACGAATTGGATTTTTCTGGATAGGAACATCTCTAGTAGAACATGTTAACATTGGTCATGTGAAAACACTGCAACAGTGAACTTTGCATCTCAAGAAAACAATGAAAAATTCTATGAATTGTTTTAGCCAGTGAAATTGGGTTGCATTCTATCAGGTAATATTTTGAGGAAAACTGATGGGCTGTTGGATTTTTCCCTCCCTCTGACTGCCGCTTCAGTGTTAACAGCCATTTCTGGCCGTTAATGGCGCGGTGTCTGCTAAAATACCAAGGCCTGTTGCATCTGCAGAAGGACCTGTGAAGGAGGCTGCTTGTAACCACGTGTGTACTGCTTTCACTACAAATCAAGCCTACGACCTGCTTAGTGCTGTGCCCCTGGAGGACTCTGGGCGAGCAGAACCCCGATTTCAGAGCCCCACCAAAATAGTCTTTCCAAGAGGCAAGTGCCAGAGAAGCTGGCTGGTGCTGACAGGGATGGCAGCACGTGGGCTAGCTCACGGTTGGGGGGCGGGGGGGAGATGGCCCAGCCGATGGCTTGTCTATCCTTTGTTCCCCTTGCCATCAAAGCTCTGGTATTTCCTGGGGAAGATGGGCAGAGGGGCTGTCGCCATCTTTACCTGAACGAGCAGCTTCCCTCCGGAATCCCTACCCCACCTCCCAGTGCTTTCCACATCCTCGACTTCACCCAGACCATTCCCTCCATCTACGGGCCACAGTGCGGCGGACCTGGACACTAAGGGCGGGCATTCCAGCTCCCGGGCCATCCCTGCCATCCCTGCCATCCCTGCTTTGTCCTCCGACTCGGTCATTCCACCGCAGTCCTTGCCCAGCTGCTCTGGGAGACGGTTTACCCTCCCTCACAAGGATCCCTGTGTTGAGAGCTCTCCTGCCTTTCCCAGCCTGGGAGCTGCTTCAGGCCAGAGACATGGGTCCGTTCTGTCCCTGATCCTGGAGAGCCACAGGCCCTCCTTCAGTGCTTCGTTAAATGCTGGCTGAATGCTCCTCACCCCCCTCATCAAGGCTCCAGGCCCTTGGCCTCTTAGCCCACTCTGGAATTCAGGGCTTTTCACATTCTTCCCAGACCCTTCCAGTCCTTTCCCTGCGAACCCCCACTCTGGATCAATTTAAAGGAACGCCTTCTCTGTTGTGCTCAGAACATGCCTTCCAGGAACGGCTGAGTCTGTTCTCATTCTCAAGGCTGCCCCCCATGGCGCTCCCTCTTGGATCGCTCAGTAGAGGACCCTCCTCCCTGATCGCTGAGGTCACCTGGTGGGGAGCCCTCACCTGCAGCCCCCATACCGAGACCACTGTAGCCACCCCACCCCCACCCCCCGGGCTGCAAGTGGCGTCAGGCTTTCTCAACTACTGCCCCCTTCCCTTTAACGTATCACCATTGTGCCCTGCCTAAAATAAACTTCCTTGGCTCCTCCCTAAGGCTCTCATTCCAAACCTGAGAGAGTATCCAGTGTCCTGTGTCACCCAATCATCCTTCGGCCATCATACTCAGGCTTGTCCCACCAATGACCTCATGGCCCATTTGCAGGGACACATAAATCCTTAGGCTTCCACTCCTTGACTCGTCAGCCACTCCCTCCTCCTGCCTCGGATTTCCTCATGGGCTTTTCTGCCTCCACCCCTCTTATGTTGGAGGTCCCCCAAGGCGCCCCTTCAGTACATTCCCTCTATACGACTCTCTCTAAATGAATGCACCCGCAGAGCCACCATTAGGACTCCCTAATGTCTGTTCCCCACTAACATCTCTCCCTGGAGCCCGACAAACCAGCTAGCTACCTGGCCAGCTCCGCTCTCATCCCAGATGACTGAAGCCCCTGGTTCCCTTCACCCTGAAGGCACTTCCTCAGCTGAGGGCGGGGTCCACTTCACTTTGGTTTTATTGAGTCCACGAACATTTAGCATCCACTCTTTGTCCAGCTCTGGGTTGAGTGGCAGAGGTAGCGAGCAAGTTGGCCACAGCCCCACATAGGCGGGAAGAACAAATCAGCTTGGCAAGGAGGAAGACAGCACCAAGTGCCAACCGGGGGGTCAAAGGAACAGGCAAGCAGGGGAACTTCGTCTGTTTGCACTGACAAACTTGCTGGTTAACCTGTTCTCTTGGACTATGATCTCTCCATACCATGGAATATGGAAAAGCCATTAAAAAGGATCAGGTAGCTCCACACACACTGGTAAGAATTGAAAGCAGATGAAAAAAGCAAGCTGCAGAACATTAAGGATAAATGGGGCAAGAAGAGTCTCGAAACCATTAACTGTGATTATCTGTGGGCGGGGGGACTGTGAGGAACTTCCTCCACAGTACGTATTTCTGAACTTTAGTTTTTTAGTTTTTTTTTTAAACAGTGTTCATATATTACAACTGTATTCAGGAAAAATACAGATACAGTAAGAAAAAGTCCTACATTCATAGTCTTGTAAAGAATTACTTCTACAGGGGCGCCTGGGTGGCTCAGTTAAGTGTCTGCCTTTGATTCGGGGCCGGATCCTAGGATGCTGGGATTGAGCCCCGTGTCAGGCTCCCTGCTCTCTCCCCCTCTGACTGCCACCTCCCCCCTGCTTGTGCCGTCCATCAAATAAATAAATAAAATCTTTTAAAAAAACAAAGAATTATCTCTACATACACTTTTAGGGGAAACAGTTTTATCCAGCTTAAGATATTAAGGACATCTATCTCTACCTCTCTCGAGCAAATGGGCATCCACACTATTGGGCCCGAGAACCACTGATTTTTGAGGCAAGCAGGTCAGTCTGGGACCCGTCGACACTACGCACAGCTGGAACCCTCCAGGGTAGCGTGAGTACACCCCGCAGCACGGGGCCACGCTCCATGCCATTCCAGGCCTCTGAGACGGGTGGGGGAGGGGGAGGAGCCACGGTGAGATCTGATCTGTGTCTGGACAAAACCACACCTGGCAGCCACCATATTGTGTTTGGACAAAACCGCACCTGGCAGCCACCAGTCTGTGTGAACAAAACCACGCTGGCAGCCATGTGGAGGATGAGAGCCTGTGGCAACAGCTGGGCCAGCAAGGCGGGGGACGGAGGCGAGAGAGAGAGCGGAGGCAGGATGGATGGCCCGTCCAGGGCGCTGTGGGGGCGCAGGGAGTCGGGGAGGCAAGCGGGGATGAGGGAGCAGAGCGTCCGAGCCCCGAGGTTTGGGGCCTGGGGTCAGGAAGGACGTGAGGCCAGGTTGGGAGGGAAGAGGAGCCAGATGTGTCTGGCGAGCGGCAGGACTTGGGAGATGCAAGAAGCACAGGCAGAGAAAGGGAAGCAGGAACGGGCCTCCAGGTGCGGGGCCGCTGTGCAGACAGGGGAAGGGGCCCGGGAGAGCACTCCGGAGGCTCGGAGGGCCAGGGGAGCACCGGAGCCTGCGGGCCAGAGCAGGCCAAGGAGCAGGGGTGGAAGCTTCCGGAAAAAGTGTGTCCAGCCAGCCGTGTGCGGTGCTACCAAGATCTGCCCCCAGAGTTCATGACACGGGGCATCTTCAAAACAGGAGAAAAGCAGGCTTCAAAAAATATTTCCTGTATAATTCCATTTTCGTAAAAATTTAGTAAAAAATAGGCATATCTGTAAACTAGAAAAAAAAGCAAAACACAAAGGAACAAAAACTCCTGGAGGGGTTCATGCCCACGTGTTAGCCAGCAGCGCTCTCTCCCGGTGTTAAAAAGTACAGATGATTTTTACTCACTGTTGGTGCTTATTTATAGTTTCCTAATTCTCCACAGCAAACCCCTTTCACTTTTGTTAAAAAACAAGGCAAAACTTCTGTCATTAGTTCGCTCTCTGGTTTAGGTTTTAGTGTTTGTGTTGCCTTAGGCCTCAGCGGTCAAGGACAGCGCTGGTATTTCTTCCAGGAGTCGCACAGCAGAACCCGCTGGAGAGGGCAGGACCCCTGCCCCAGGTCCGGCAGGAAGCGGATGCAGAGCACAGGACTGCAGGCCCGCCAGGCTGAGCGAAGGCTTGGGGCACTCCGGAGATCCTAAGCATGTCGCCAAGAGCCAGGAGCAGCACGGGGACAGGGCAGGAGGGCCTGGGCCCAGAGGAGGGGGCTGGACGGGGCAGGCGGCGGTCCCGGGGGGGTCCCCAGAGCTGACTGCTCCCCGCCCCCAAGCAGGGCAGCGCGGGCTGGGCACGGCCGCCACGCACCTGAGCACGGACTCCACAAACACCCTCAGCGCCTTGATGTGGATCCAGGCAATGAAGGCTTCGCTGAAGTTCACCTTGAGCCAGCGCAGCAGCGGGCCCTGCGGAGACAGGAGAGCGGGTGATGCCTGCTGGCAGCCCCGCCTGACACCAGGCCAAGGACGACACGGCTTTTGACAGAGCAAGCCTTGCGCGGAGACATGGCCTGCGGCCAGCGGAAGCAGCGAGTCGGTTGGCCCAGGCCCAGGCGAGGCCCAGGCCCACGTCCTCCAGGGCGCCTGGGGCCCGGCAAGCTCAGCGGGCCAGCCACCTGGCACATGCGCGGGGCCACCAGAGCCCAGGCTGCAGGGGGCGGGGGGGGGGGGGGCGGCTCGGCAGCCCCTGACCTCAGGGCCGTGGGCAGACAGCGGACAGGCTTCCCTCTGACACCGTGCTGCCAGGGAGCCCAACTTTGAGGAACGCATCGCCGCCCCCCCCCCCCCCGCCGTTCTAGCATCATTCCCCCAGCTGCCGCTTCCAGGGGGCTCCGCCGAGCCCACCTCACAAGGCCACAACCCCTCGGGGCCGCAGCAGCTGTCACGAATGCTGGTGTGGCCGGTCCTCGGGGGGTCCAGGAGTCCTACAGCAAGGGCTCTGAGCTCCCACCGACACCTCCAACTGCCCGCAAGGGTCAGGGGTGGGTCCAGCCAGGGCAGCCCGGGGGGAGGGGGGTGGGGGAGAGCCGAGCTGCCCGACTGCCACCACCCAGCAGGGCCTGCCCCCGTCACCAGCTGCAGCCACCCCCACGCAGGGCAGAGGCACCCTGGCCAACAAGCACCATCCACTGCCGGGGCGCGGGGGTGCAGCTCCAAAGACGCCCTCCAGGTGAGGAGGGAGGCAGGATTCTGGGCTCCTTGATTTAAGCCCTCGAAAGCCACTCTGCGTACCAGAAAACGCAAGGCGCTGTTTTCTCAGAGGATGCCTGCGCTGGCGAGGACATGCGAGCGGGGGAGCCCCAGGGCTGCGGGGTGCGGCTTACCTCTCCCTCGCCCTCACTCTCTCTCTCTCTGTCCGTCTGCCCCGCAGCGGGCCTAGCGGGGTTACCTAGCGGGGTTACCTTAACCTTGTGGTCCGGGAAGGTGGATGATCCCTTTTTAAGAGCAACACAGGAAGTTTGCTAAAGGCACAGAAATGATTTATTAATCTCTCAGCAAACAGGCATCACAACAAACAGAAATAACTCGCATCGCCGGAAAAGCGCGTGAAGGCGAGCTGGGAATGCCGGCCCGCCCTCCGGACTCACGTGCTGCCTGCACTGGAGATGGGATGGGGGGTGGTTCAGGTGTCCGGGTCCCCTAACTGCAGCGACAGGGCCGGCCGCCGACAGCGGGGTCAGCTCCCGCATCCCTCCCCCTGCCTGGCCTCGGTCCGCACCTCCCCTGCACGGGCGGACGGGACAGGGACCGTCCCCAGGAGGCAGCTGTTCGCGGAAACAGCTCTCCCCGCGGGGTGCGGCTCCACTCCGTCCGGCCACGGGAGCCCCGCGGCACCCATGGAAGCTACGTACAGAGAATGAGCCAGGCATGCTGGTAGGACCTACCACCCTTTATCCTCCTCTTCTGCAAACGGGGAGAAAGCACGGGAAAATCCCACCCTGTGCTCTCCAAGGGAGCCGACACCCCAGGACCTAGCCTGTCCCCTCGGGGAGACGAGGACCAAAGACGGTGCAGGATGCTGGTCACAGCCACCGCCCCACAAGCTAAAGGGGAAAGAGGTGCCTCAGAAGCCAGGGCAGGGCTGCCCCCGGCTGCCCCCCCGCCCGGTGGCTGCCCCCCGCTCAGTGGCACACGGCCTGAGCTTCGCAAGGAGCTAAATGGTTCCCAGTTCGTGTCTCCTCTGGAGCTTCCCCTCCACAGAGACCCTGGAAGGGCTCCCGGGGCAGCGCTGGGGTGCAGAAGCCTACACCTCGTAAGGAAGTGGCAGGTGGCAACCTGAGCCCCAGGCGGCAGCTGTCCAGCTCTTGTGTGTCACCTGGATCCTCAGGGGGTCTGTACCAGCGCCAAGGCCAGTGCCAAAGGCACGACCTGACCACCTGTCCTGCAGGCAGGGCCTCCCGCCCGGACATTTGTCAAAGCTGCCACTGTCTAGCCCTCCCATCCAGAGACACTGGGTAGGGGGCCCGGGGCCAGGACCGAAGCCAGCAGGGACGAGGCTGGAGAGAGACCACTGAGCGCTCCTGATTGATGAAGGTTTGGGGTGAGCTAAGGCCAAGGAGAAAAACCCTTTGGGTTTTACGGCTCTTGTTGCTGAACACCTTCCCTGCCTGGGTGTGCGGGGTCTGAGGCCTCAGGGCCCAGTGCCGCCTCAGCCCTTTCTGTCAGGAAGAGCCCTCAACCCAAAGCCTGGCAGACTGAGGATCAGAAGCGGGTGTGTCCACTTGGCATGCACACACTCACGTCCACACACACACACACACACACACACACAGTTTATGCTTGGGGGCAGGGTTAAACCCCCCCCCCCCACAGGCACTATTACATGATGAGCTCCTGTCTCGTCCTCAGAGGGGATGGGCCCATCCACTGGGGCTTTGAGAACCCCGTTTTGTGGAACCCCATGCTGCTGCTCACTTCTGAGGGGGGGAGGCTTGTCTGCAGTCCCTGACCAGAGAGGTCGAGCCGGACGTGCCCATTCCACCAGCTTGCTCTTCACCTAAGCACATACTTACAGCTTCATGTTTACACACCGGCTTTCCTCCAAAAGGCCTGAAGTACATTCTATTCATTCTTCCCTTCCTCTCTACGCTAGAGTCTGAACTGGAAGTTTCTGAGAACCCTTCCCAGTGGGGATGGGGGGCAGAGGGGCCCTGAAGACATTCCACCAGGGGGGCCCCTGGAGCCACCTGGCTTAGGCTTCTCCGTAGCAGGAAGGGGCCCATCCCGCAGAGCAGAGTGGCTCTCCCAGGGCTACGCTGTTCACATGCCCAAACTCAAAGCCTGGTTTGCTCCCTTGTGAGCTCAGCTGCCCGCGCACGCGGGAGGTTTCTGAGTGGCTGTTGTCAGAAATCTCAAGGATAAGCACCCACACTTTGCGAAAAGCATGGGGGAATAAAGACAGGTGCTGATGACAGAAGCTGTCCCATCGCGCCTGGGGAACCACACTGCTGAGGCCAGCAAGGTGACCGAGAGGACAGGCCTGCCCACGCTCGGCACAGGGACCCCTGGCTGCCCTGCCCCAGTCCTCTCTTCCTGGGGGAAATGCTCCCTGACCTCCCAGAGCCTCAGTTTCTCAGCGGCACAGTGGGGCTTGGAGTCCCCTCCTGGAGGGGCGCTGCCAGGACTCGGGAGCTCTCCTGGGGAAGGTGCACCTGGGTGCCCCTCTCCCTTGCCCAGCCCCACTCTGGCAGCCCCAGGGGAACACACGTCCCCGGGCCACATGGCCCCCAAGGGACGGGGGTGCTCTTGCATGAAGCCCGCCCGCCTGTGTTGTCTACTCACATACTGTTGCTTCTTATCAGACAGCAACCTGCTCATCTCTTCCCTTTCCCTTTTAATTTCTTTCTCATCATAGTAAAATTCACGGACAGTAAACCTTAAAACAAGCAAATGAGAGGCTTTCACCAGGAAGCTTCCAGACGGAGCAGAGACCAACCTCCAGCGGAGACAGCCCAAACCCGGAGGAGCCTACCAAGGCCAGCCCTTACTTGTTCTCTCTGGCTTTGGTTTTGAAATCCTCGATCACTTTTCGAAACAGGGTCACCGTGAAGAGGCCGCCCTCGTTGTCCTCGGCAATCAGTCTGGTGGAGAGAAGCATCTGTTCACTGGGAGCCTCACCACACCCGAGGTCAGAGCTGGGCCAGAGAGGCCTGTTCCGTCTCCCTGGGGAGGTGGGTCCCCGCAGAGGGGGAGCTCCGTCCCCATCAGCCCAGTGGCCCGTGGGCAGCCCCCCCCCCCGCCGCCACCAGCACCCGAGAGCAGGGAACCAGGCGCCCCTTATGACTTCCTGACTCCGGGCTGGGTGCTCTCTACCACCTGCTATTGCTCCTTCCACTCCCCCTCCAGGCTGAGGCCTCGGGGGCCTCTGGGTGACCTAAACGCAGGCCCTCAAGGTGCAGAGACCCCCCAGTTTGGCTCCAGCTTGAGAGATGCCCGAGCGATCGAGCTACTCCCGTCTGTCACCTGTGTGTGTGTGTGTGTAGGGGGCGGGGGTGCCCGGGCTCTGATGCGCTGCGCTCAGAACAGAGCAGGGCCGACTCCAGTCGGTGAAAACCATCCCACCATGCCCACCTCACGTTCACTGTCCCCATGCTCCAATCAGCCAGCCTCCGAGGCACGCCGCAGCACAGGGCCTCAGGGGGCGCTGTCCCAACACAGGGGTCACGGGAGCCAGTGGTCCGCGTCTTTGAGTCAGCCTTTTTGGCCAGAAGACCTAAAGCAGGCCCTTCGCCAAGCCCGGGCAGGTCTCACGGGCATGCTGGCCAGGTCCCCTTTCCTGTCACTCAGAGCCCCTCCCCCCGGCCCCAATCAACTGTGGAGGGGTCCCCCAGCACGTGGCCACAGAAAGCCAGTGTGGCAGAGCACTGGTGGCCTCTGCCAGGCTGTCGGGCTTGGAGGACCTGCCCCTCTGCCCATCTGTCTGCCTTCCCCCTCTCTCGGCAGACGCCCCTGGCTTCTTCCTCTGGCCTCCCCTCGTGACCCCAGGCTATGGCTGTCCAGTTCCCTGCACCCCTCAGTGTAGCTCCTGATTGCCATCTCCTATGAGCTGTGACCCTGGGAGAGCCTCCCCGGCCGGAGGGGGGCCTCGGAGCCGAGCGCGCCGTGGGCAAGCCTGCCCTCACCCTACGCGCTGTGTGCCGAGAAGGAGGCGACCGGCGAAGCTGGCCCAGACTCACCGCCCAATCTTTTTAAATTACAAACTATCCCAGACATACCCTCTATACCTTCTCTATACGAGAAGGTATAGAGAATAACAAATACTATGCACTGGCCGCCCCACTTAAGACCTAAAGCCATTCGCACGCCGCAGAAGCCCCGTGCCCGTCCCTGGCTGCGTGTCGCTCCCTGCCCTGATCCCCCAAACAGCCCCTCGACTCTCAACGTGCGCCTGCACAAGCCCAGATCACGTAGGGTTTAGTTCGGTCCATTTCTCGACCTCAGGTAAATGGCTTCACGCCGGGTGTACTTTTCAGCCGTTGGCTATTCTTCCTCCACACCGAACCATGAGACCCACCCTTGCCGCAGTGTGTAGCCCCGACGTGCTGGTGTCCCCGCGTGCAAGGTCCTCGTGGTTTGACTATATTCCTGTATCTCTTTTCCTGCCACTTTCCCAGCCCTCCCTGGCCACTCCTGCTCTGACCCCAGTAGGCCAGATGCTGAGACTGACTCTGCTCCCCACCCTGCCCCCCAGCTGCCCCCCCAGCTGCTCATGCTCTGTGGCCATCAGAGATCAGAGTCAGGCCCCTGCTTGACCCTCAGGGAAGCATCGACCTGAGCTGAGAAAGCAGAGCAGAGCGTGGTGAGGGGGATCTCTGCAGGCATGCAGCCAGAGGGGGCTTCCTGGAAGAGGGGGAAGCGAAGCAGCAGTCTAAAAGATAGAGGGAGTCTGGCACACGGCTGGGGGTGTGGCTGCAAAGGAACTCCAGGCTGAGGGACTCTGGTGAGCGCTAAGTGGGGAGGGCTGAGGGTCCCTGCGTCCTCAGAGCATGTTTGGTGCCTGGGTGCCAAGCTGGGGTCTTACTTAGTCGACCGAGGGACCACCATGTCCGAGAGGGATTCGTAGGTTTTTTGCCATTGTGCGTAGCTTGGTCTGCAAGAATACAGAATCATTCAGTGATTTCGGAAGAATGGCTGGGGGGTGTTCCGAGTGTTTAGGACACCGTACACCCCTTTTCCCGAGGGACTGAGATGAGCAGGACTGGGCCAGAGAGCCCCAAACACCCCAAGGCCCTGCCATGGGCACTGGACACCGCCTCCCTCCCCAGCCCGGTCCTGGACCCAGCCTCCCCACAAGGGCCCCGCACGCCCCAGAGGGCCCACGTGAAGGGTTCAGCCAGAGATGTGTGTTGGGGCTTTCTAGCCCTGACCCTGCGTGGCCTTGGAGAAGCCAACTGAGTTCTCTGCCTCTGGACAAGGGATTAACAGCCATACCCCCGGTTTGCTGTGAGCGAAACGAGCTCCCTGTCCAAGGCTGGTGGCACACGGCAGCTGCTCAAGAAATGGCAGCTTCTGTCACTGCTTTGCCCCACAGACACTGTCATCCTGCTCCTGTTCCTGCCCCCGGGCTCCAGGCCATGGAGGGCCCCCCTCTCTCTCTGCTGGGCAGGGCCACTTTCCTCCCATGATCACCAACAAAGGCTGAGCCCCCCCCCCCACAACCCGCTTTCCCGGGCCACTTACTTGGGGACGATGACCAGAAGCGTGATGAGATACTCGGAACCCAACACGAAGTCTTCTTTGCTCACGATATCACTCAATGTCCGAGTGAAGAGGTTTCCCCTGAATCCGTGTGGGACAGAGGGATCAGCCAAAAGGCAGAGGGAGGCCTCGGGGGCCTGGGCATTTGGGACGCGTGGAGCCCCGCACACCCACCACACACAGGCCCTGGGTCAGGAGGACAGGCAGGAAACACGACGGCTTGTATGTCCCCCCAGAGTGGCGGATCCCTGGGCCGAGTGTGCCCCCGACCCCCCAGTTCTGGGTGGCCGGAGCTGCTGTGGCTAGCAGGGCCGGAGGGCCCCTCACTAGTCCCCCGAGGGGCACCGGAATCCAACACCGCCGTCACCTGCGCTGCCCCTGGGACTGCTGGGGGGGACTGCGGGTGGCAGGCAGCTTGAGTTACTCAAGTGTCAACACTCGAGCTGTCCTGAGCGGAGACGGGCCCAGAGAGAGCTCCGTTTCACTTTTCACACCTCCCAGGTCCAGCCGCCAGGGGACATGCACCTGCAATCGCTTGCTTCATGCCCAGTGGAACCCGGTCTCCAGAGAGGTCATGGTATTTTTAGCACATGGTTCAAGGCTATTGTAGCAGCAAACGGGCCAAGGGATAGCTCGGAGACCGTCTGTAGCCTGGGCACCCTGGCCACGGTATCAGCTAATGTATTTGCCCATGACACTCCTGGCGAATGGCTCTCAAGCACTCCCAAGGCCAAGGCCTTAGGCAACACGCCACCTCCAGCCTCATCTCTCCCACCTGTGCCTTCACTGCCAACTCCCTTAGGACCCTCTCCAAAGGCACAGAGCCTGTGCCCCCTACCTCGTTACCGTTCCGCTGTCAGGTCTGCTCTGTCTGGTTTATGCCTGAACTCCTAGCACAAAGCAGATTTTCCATAGATACTTGTTGAGCGAGTCATTGTGAGCTCCCCGAGTGCAGAAATTACACTGTCTTCTGCTTTGTTACCTTTAGGGCCTGCCATAAAGCCTGAGAGTGTAGGAGGTGCTTAATACACGTTTATCGGAAGAAGAATAACAGGCGAAGGAGGCAGGAACGGCTTCACCACCCCACCCCCACCCCCTCTTCACTCAGGGGAGTGATCAATAGATCAGCACTGCGGTGAATCAGCCCCTGAGCTTCATCAGCTGACTGACGAGGCCGGACCAGATGTCTGCTCAAGCCCCAAACGATTCTCGAGGAGTCCACAAGTCGGTGATGCGACAAGTCGATGGCCCAGCAGGTAAATGGTTAATGCCACAACAGATCTAAGCCAAGGTCACCATTTAGGGCGCTCTCTGCCATCGGCGCCCTGCCCTTTGCCCATCTCATTCCTTCGTAGAGCCAAGGATGCAGCGGAACTCAGGTGATGCCCATTTAGTTCTGATGCCAAGTCACGCCACCAATAACGACTATTTCTAGTTGAAGTGCATCTTTCCTTTTTTGGTTTTTGTTTTTTTGTTTTTTAAAAGATTTTATTTATTTATGTGACAGAGAGAGACACAGCGAGAGAGGGAACACAAGCAGAGGGAGTCGGAGAGGGAGAAGCAGGCTTGCCTGCGGAGCAGGGAGCCCGACGCGGGGCTCGATCCCAGGACCCTGGGATCATGACCTGAGCCGAAGGCAGACGCTTCACGACTGAGCCACCCAGGCGCCCCTCCCTTTTTGGTTTTAAATTCTATGTACTACATGCTTCTTTCACAAGAAAAGAAGGCTGGCCCAGGGACCACCTGAAGGGAGAGGGGGAAAAGGGAGGGAGGGTGAGCTACTCGGAGGGACAGCTGATTCTGAAGGCCCCTGGGCACTGCCCTTCCTTGGAGGATCTTCAGACAACTGCCAACAGAATCAGAGCCAGAATCTGGGGAGACTGGGAGGATCCTCCATGCCAACTCAGTCCTACTCAGGGGCAGCTTCCAGACTCCCTGGCGGGAGCTCAACTGCCCTCTCCTGACATGCCTCCCACAACAAGGCACTCACTACCTTACAAGGCAGTTGTTGCCATCATGACACTGGGTTTCTGCTTTCCTCCAGACACCTCCCACCATCTTGGTGACTGGTGGCTGGTGGGCCACACGGTCTGCTCCCTGGCTCTCACGTGGAGGTCCTTCAGTTGACTGAAGAAGGCACCAGAGTCCCTGCGGTTGCTCTGCTCTGGGTTGCAGCACCCACTGCCCCTGGGGGCCCTCACAAAGGGCCGGGCTCTACCAGTCAGGTCGTCCCCTGACTATGCAGAGAGGGTCCTCTGTAAAGCTCCCTGGGGGAAAGGTCTTGGGACCCACCCCAGGTGTTCTCAGTAACCTGGGGAGGTTGGGAGAGAGAGGGAGGGAAGGGGATGAGGGGCAGCATGGTATCCCTCTCTGGGTCCAGGCAGGGAGGTGCCATCACCCCTGCTTGGGCCTTTCCACCCGGTCATATGCACCAAGGCCTCCCCTCCCAGCATGCAGCTCCCAAAGAGGCAGGAGTGCCTCGGCATCTGCCTGGTTGGCTGGCTGGCTCTCTGTCTCTCTCTCAACCCAGGCCCAGACCTGGTTCACCCAGTGATCTGAAAGGCACACTCCTGCCCCAGCCCGGCCCCTGCCCTAGCCCAGCCCCTGCCCCAGCCCGGCTCCGGCAGTACAGAAACTCGGTTACTCACATGGATTTCTTCTCCAGGTTCTCCAGGTTTGTCTTCAGAGTGTTGTAGGCGGCTGTTCGGGATTTCAGGTCAGTCTCGATCTGTGCCAGTTGCTATTTGGAAAAGCAAAAAGAGGTGGCCAAACTTTTCAAAATGGCCCTAAACTGTTCATGGCACACTTCGGAATAAGTAATAATCAAAGCTGCCCACCGGTCAGGAATGCCCAGTTTTCTCCCGCTGCTCTCGCACACATGCCAGTGGGTGGCCCTACAGTACCCTGCAGGGAGCAGGGGAGAGCTTCACAGCCCCACTTTGCAGATACCGCGCGGCCCGAGACAGGCACGGCTGTTTCAGGATCACTCAGTGAGAGAATCTTCTGGTCGCAAGCCCTTCTCACACTGCCAGGCCAGCCCAGCTGACCCCATCCTGGCTTCTAGGGGGGACCACTGCGGCGCGACCCCGCCAGTGCCCGGTCCCAGGCTCAGCTGGGCCCCACAGCCCCTTCCCACAGGAAGGGGTAGGTAGGCAGGGGGGTTCCTTTCGGCTTGGACGCAGGTCATGGGTCTGGCACGAAGAAGATCCCCTGTTCTCGAGTTTCAGGGAGGGCGTCCCAGACCCCTGCCTGCAGCGGGCCCAGGCAGACATGTCGTGGAAAGCGGGGAAACAGGACAAGCCCGGGTCCACGGCCTAGCTCTGTGGCTGCCTGGCCTAAGTGGCCCCATCTGTGTGGCCAGGACGGTCATGTCCTCCCCAAGGGCTCGAAACAGAGAAAGGCAAATGCCCGCCACGGCCTACCTCACCGGAAGCCCTCAAAACACAGCCCCTGCCCCCCAGGGCTCACACTTGGGCAGTGAAGCCCATCAGTACAGAACTGGTGCAACAAAGGGGGGTACCCCACGGTACGGGACACAGCGTGGCCTTCCAGATGATCGCGCGAGCCTCCCGCGCGCAGCGGGGCGCAGGGCCGACCCCCGCAGCTCCTGAGGGGCCGCACCCCTCCTCCCAAACCCAGAGCCCCACGTCCGGGGCCAGCTCCCTGGTGGCGCGCAGTCGCCCCTGTGGGACCCCCCACTCCACGCCAACGAACACTGCTGACACGGATACCCCAGCATCAGCACACGACAACACGGAGGCAGCCTGAGGGACCGGACGATCCCGACCTGAAATACACAGATTTCGTTCGTATAGAGACGGGAGGATCCACTTTCAACAGTTAACACGTCGGTCACCTTTAGCGGGGGGAGGAAAGGGAGGGGTCTTGTCACGGGAAGCCTTTCATGTTTTTATCCTCCTATCTTGATATGTCTGATTTTTAAAATAAGATTTATATATATATATATATATTTTTTACAATTTTTTAAAATCTTTTCCTTTGAAAAGATGACAGATTTCATGGGAAATTACAGAAAGAGGACACAGGGGGACACCCCACCGGCTCAGTCGGTGGGGCATGCGGCTCTTGATCTCGGGGTCGTGGGTTCAAGACCCACGTTTGGTGTAGAGATTACTTCAAAAAATGAAAAAGTAAAATATTTTAAAAAATAGGACACAGAGACCGCATGTACCCATCTTACATAACAATAGTACGCGATCATAACCAAGAAACCAACTCAAGTACAATCCACAGTCTTGATTTTTAAAATTAACATTATACACACACACACATATATAATTATTTTTTAAAGGAAAAAATCAAACAAAAAAATCCTCCATCTTCCTTCCTTTTCTGGTTTCACCACAAGCCAATGAAAACTTGCAGAGGGGTGTTTGGAAACCAGTGGATGGCGAGAGGAACCAGGGCTCTGGAACCAGTTCGCACTCAGCCTGCCTGTGAGCCGGTGTCAGGTCTGGCCCTCTCTGAGCTCAGGCCCACGGAATTACGGAGAGCTCCCAGAATCTGCAGAGCAGGCTGTTCAGCAAGGCGAGGCCCACCTGCCCCAGCCGGAGCTCCTCCAGGGGGCCGGGTCCCCCCCACCCACCCGTGTCTGTGACCCCCGGGGAGGGTGGCCGACAGAGGCAGTGCTGAGGACGTGCGTTCAGCCGGGCTCTGAGGTGTGGGGCTTGCTGGCAGAAGCCCCGAGAGCCTCCCGGACCCACCCGCAGAACCCAGAGATGTTTCCGGTGGTGGAAACACCAGCCGCCAGCGCCCCGAGGGGGTCAGCGTGGAACCCCCACCCTCGGCTGCTCGTGTGCGTGCTGAAGAATAAACCCTGCACCGTGTCACACCCGTGAGGTCTGGGGGCTTTTTTGAACCTGCAGCATGACCAGGCCTCTGGAGACTGACACCGAGGTGGGTTGGGTCCCTGACCAGGTGACAGGTCATGCTGCCACAATGCAGGGCTGGGAGGGGGCGAAACCCTCCCCACCCTTGAGCCTCTTCTTTAAGGGACGTGGGTGGGCTCAGTTCCCAGGGGTCGGGAGGGTCTGGGGGCCTGGCCCTGACCACGTCAGCACAAGGCTCCTCCCAGGCTGGGAGACCTGCTTGGACATCCGGCAAGTGCTACTCAGTGCCCAGCAACACAGCGACTTTTGTGTCCCCAAGGCTCTCCCTGTGAAGGACCTCCCATTGGAGGAACAGACCTGAACCAGGGCTGAGGGCATCACACATGGGGTCCTGGTGCAGGACAACCTCTGGGGGCCAATACTCAGAGCCTCAAAGAGCTGGTTCCCTGCAGTGGAGCTGGCCCCGGGCTTCCTTGGGAAGCCTTGTCTCTCTCTCTCTCTCTCTCTCTCTCTCTCAAACACACACACACACAGCCCAAGACCGGCATTCCCATCCCAGGTCCCGGAGCAAGCCACTTAACCTCTCAGCCAGCTTCCTCATCTGAGGTCAGAGGAAAGGGGTCCTCCTCACAGGGGTGACACGGAAGGAGAGCCCTGCGTGGTTCTGGGCACACGGGAAGTGCTGTCAACACCACTGCTCTCCTCCCCCTCCCTGCTTTCCTGCCGAAGTCACTCTCTGGGTGCCTGGACTAGACAGAAGCCAAGTTCTGTCCTCTACAACTGCTCTGCGCTCCCCTCTCGGTTGACCCCCCCCCCAACGTGTCCCGGGGTCCTCATCGCTAGCCAGCATCCCTGGGGCAGCCCCGCCAGTGAGCACAGTCCCAAGTGGACTCAGAGCATGGCCTGACCGCCTGCCTGGCTCAGCCTGGCCTCAGCAATGCAGGGTGCGCCTCTACGTTGGTGGCAGAGGCGCACAGAACCTCCCGGAAGCCACACCTGTTACAGGTGCGCTGGGCAGCCCCTCCTCAGAGGGCTTTCCAGAATCACTGCCCAATTGTCCCAGGCGGGGCTGGGACCTCTGTGGCGTAAGCGGTGCCCGAGCCGCCGCACCCAGATTCCGGAGCCTTCTGGCCCCACCCGAGTTCCCAGAGACACGGGCCGGGCACCAGCCTGCTGTGGGGAGCGCACAGGGCTGCACTCGGATGGGTCCCAGTGGCCCATCTCCTGCACCTGACCCGCCCAGACACACCTGGGTGGCTCTGTGGTCTGAGGAGACAACAGGAAAGCTTTGTTCCTGGCCTGGCTGAGTCTCTGTCCCAGCCATCCGGGCCAGGAGGAGACATGGCCCACGAGGGGCTCAGTGTATGGTAGAGGGAGGGGGACAGGCAGTCACCAACCATCAGAGCTCACCCTCAGTGAGACACACAGGAGTCAACAAGGCCACAAGACACCCAAGGTCCCCAGAGACTTGAGCTACAGTGCTTTTATTTACAAAGTGAAAGCTGGAGGCCATCACTTACCAAGATGGTAGAATTGTGGGGTACAGCACTTACTGCCCTGTTTTTGTTTTTGTTTTTTTTTTAAGATTTAGTCATTTATTTTTAGAGGGGGTTGCAGAGAGAAAGAAAGAGTCCCAAGCAGACTCTCCACTGAGCGCAGAGCCTGATGTGGGGCTCCATCCCACAACCCGAGATCATGACATGAACCAAAACCAAGAGTCGGAGGCTCAACCGACCGTGCCACAAGGTGCCCCTTACCGGCCTCACTATTGTCACAGGCTCCTCAAAGCAGGGGCAGGACCCCTGGTGATGCCTTCCAGAAACACCTCCCAGGAGTTAGGGCTCCTAAGCCGGACTCTCCACGGAAGCAGATAGTTCTTGTCAAGTAGACAATCACTCTGGGATGTGGTGGTGGGGGGGGCGGGTATGAGGCTCTTGTTAGTAGGTCAGGATGGGGCTGAGCGGCTCCCTCAGCACCTTGCAAAAAGTAGCGAGCTGGACGGAACCCACGGAAGGGGCACCAGGGTCTGGGCCAGGCATGTCAGGGGAGGGGCCTGTGGATGCCGCCGCTGGGCGGCCAACAGGGCCAGAAGAGGTATGGAGGGAGGGCAGATGCCCGCCTTGAAACCCCAAAGTCTCTGGCCTTGCCCAGGGCATGGAAGGCCACACCTCAGAAAGGCACCGGGCCTGGTCAGGGCTGGCAGGAAGCAGATGGGAAGGGGACTCCACCCAGGGTCACTCGAGGACCCCACCCGGCCTCCTGACTCTGGCCTCCCAGAAGGTCCCTCTTGGCACCACCGCCAGGGCCCCAAGGCCATGTAGATCTCCCTCAGGTGGTCAGATCGCCCTGGTCACCGAAGTTTAACCGTCCCCCGAGAGAAGGCCCTCCTCACCTTCGCTAGCGTGTCCACCACGCTCACCAGCGGCTGCTTCGCGGGGTATTTCGCCATGTCCCATTCAAAGTGGGTCACAAAGGATGGTAAGTCAACTAGAAGAAACATTTCAACAAGTGAGTGGGACTCTCCCCAACTCGTGAGACCAAGGTTGCCAAACCCCGAGCCAAGCATCCCCGCTGAAACCAAGGAAGCAATCAGAGAAAAGGGAGGAGAGAGTCAGGGCCCTGGGAGAGCACACACGCCCCCCCGGGAGTGGGGTACTGAGCCAGCTGGCTGGCCTTCGGTCAGGACTGTCAGCAGCACCCGAAGCCCCTCTGAGAAACCCGCCACCAGCCACAGGGCCAGGGTGACCAGAGCACACCCGTGCCCCAAACGCTCTCAGACGGCTGCCCCCCGAGATCTGCCTTTGGGAGATCCTACTTTCCCACGAGGTAGAAGCAAAATCGGGAGATAGTCTGAGGGCCAGGTTAATACCTCGCCTTTTCTGGTTGTGTTGGCCACACTCCCCTGTTGGGCTATTGTTCCGTTTTGAGGTACCTCAAAAGACACGCCAGAGAGCCTCAGGCAAACCCCCGAAGACCACAGAGCCAGTTATGGGTGCCACCTGCTCACAAGAAGGGCCGTTTTTCCACCTTCCTCACCCAAGCACTGGATAGAGGCCATTACAATGCACGTGGTTTGTTTTAAGGAAGGCATTTTAGGGGCGCCTGCGTGGCTCAGTTGGCTGAGCAATCTCCTACTGATTTCGGTGTGGGTCATGATCTTGGGGTCCTGGGAATGGGTCCCCGTCGGGCTCTGTGCTCAGAGGGGAGTCTGCTTGAGATTATCCCTCTGCCCCTTGTGCTCTCTCTCTCTCTCAAATAAATACATCTTTTAAGGAGGAGGCGGCCGAGGAGGAGGAGGAGGCGGCGGCGGCGGCGGCGGCAGCAAACCTTGGCAAAAGACTAGAGTCTATGACTGTGGTTTCCACTGCCTGGTGAGGAGATGCATTTTTCAGCGTATGTCCTTTACGTGAGTCTATAGTGAGTAGACCAAATCAGGGTTTTCTCAACGAATTTCCCTTTTCCCCTTACTTTCTCCAAAAGCAAACCTAAACCCAGCACCCTTGGGATGTTTCTGGTTCCCTCATCAGCTGCGGGCAGAGGATGGAGCTCTGGAGTTGAGGTCCGACAAGCCACACAAGGGAACCTGGGCCGATCCAGGAACGGTAACTAGTAACTCCGCTCAAGTGCCCACTCTTCAGATCAGCTCGGTGCACATTTACAGAGTGCCCCCTGGAGCCAACTGCTGCTTATACCTGCCCCTCACTCCCTGTACTAAGTTGGGTCAGTGTATGCGATGCTGGGGTGGCCCCCAGAAACCCTTGAACCCGAGCAAGACCAGCCTGCCCCCACTGGATTCTCACACCACGACATGTGCACGCCTGCCCTTCCCAGCATGTCCTTGTGCAGATAAAGGGCACGGGGGGGGGGGGGGGGGTTGCTGACTCAACGGTCAGGCACCTCCACTGAGCACCAGCTTGCTACCGTGAGGGGGAAAAGAGACCACACCCCCTGGATTTCAAGGTGCTCAGTCTCCTAGGGAGACAACCAGGCAAACCTCACACCACGGTGAATGGCAACAGGAGCGTGGCCGGGTACGAAGGGTGGGAGAGCCGGCGCCTGACTCCCAGGGAGGGCAAGGAGGGCTTCATGCAGGGGCTGCAAGCGACAGGCGTTTGCCACACGGCCGCAGGGGGAGGGCGCTGTGTGTGAGCTGCCTGGAGGACATCCTGCGTGGGGGCCCAGGAATCTCTGGGACCACCCAATGGAACAGGAGGGCCAGGGCAGGGTCACGGAAGGCCGTGTCCGCACTTTCTCCTGGGGTGATAAGGACGCTGGAGGCACCTATGGAACACCCCCCCCCATTATCTGCCAGTAATTGGCCACACATCACCCCAACTCCAATAGCAAGGCTGGAGAGGTCACCGAGCAGGTTAGGACACCAAGCCTCCGGGGGCTATGTAGCCAGCCAAGGACGTTCATGCACTGAGACTTCTCTGGGGCCAGTGGGGGCTTTGCAGGGGAGAAGCCGGCAGGGGGAGTGTGCGAGAGTAGGAGCGGCTCAGAGGGGCCTAAGCTCTGGAAGCAGAAGAGGGAGGGCAGGCTCACTAGGCCAACTGCCCACGAAGGAGGCCCAGAGCACACCTGGATTTGCAGGTCGGTGAGAGGGTAGCGGGAGGGGACACTCACTCAGCTGGGCAGCCGCGAGGGCGGCAGAGCGGGACGGGGCGGAGGGGAGAGGAGATGAGCTCAGCTCCGGGCAAGCTGGAGCCCGACACGAGGGTAGATGAGTCCCCAGGACGCAGATGGAAGTGAAATGGGGCTCGGTGGAGGGAAGCGGCCTGCTGGCAGAGGGGCGTGCACAGAAGTGGGAAGGCCTTCCAACCATTCGGGTAGGTGACCGAACAACCATTGTTCACCTTGGCCAGGACCCGAGAATTAGCGCATTTAACTTACCTTTCAACCCTATTAAGTATCATCATCATCTCCACTTTAGAGGTGGGACCAGCATGTGCCAGTCACCACACTAATGTCCACCATAGGAGCTGACGGTGACCGTGGAGCAACGGAGCACCGTGCTCCTTCCAGGGCCCCCCACGGCCGGGCACGGCTACCCTGCGGCGTGCACGGTGGCCCATCTCCGCACAAGAACCACGTGCTGATACGTCCGGCTCACTCGCCCTTAGAAGGTGTCCCTCAGGTTCCAGTGGGGCTGGAATTGACAAGAGGCGCCAAGGGGAGGGAGCCGATCCGCCAGGATGAGCGCCCTTGTAAGGAGACACACCAGGGAGCTCGCTCACTCGCTCTCCCCCCTCCCCATGTGCTCCTCCAGGGCCAGGCCCTTACGAGGACTGAGGACTCGAGGACTCAGGACTCGAGGACTCGAGGACTCGGTGAAGGAACCAGCCTGCAGGCACCTTGACCTTGGACTTCCAGCCTCCAGAACTGTGGGAGATCAATGTCAGTTGTGACAGCCCCCTAGGCTGGTGTTTTGTTATGGCACCTCGAGCTCATACAGATTTGGGTATAAGTTGGGTATTAATACGGATTTTTGTATTGCCACCCCCTGCAGGGGAAGCCTTTGTACAAAAACGTACAGACCAGAGAGGAGCAGAACAAATGTCTGGATAATGGGGGGTGGGGGTGGGGGTGCAGCCCGAGGCAGAACCGGAAGGTGAAGAAGGACTCCTCCTGTGGCAACTGATTCCACTCAGGGAGCCCCCCCACCCAGGGGGCCAGGCTGGAGCCAGCACCAGCACCCCCGCCGGCCCCAAGCAGGAGATGCTGGGCAGGAGATGCTCTGGGATCTGTGCCCCTCCTCCTCCCCGCTCTGCCACTTCCGGCACCCTGTGGGCACACCACCCCCAAGCCAAGCCGCCTCCCACCCCCTACTCTCTCTCTCTCTCTCTCTCTCTCTCTGCTGCTTTTGTCCTTCAACATCAGGACAAGGGCCACCTCCCGAACGCCTGCCGACCGTCCATCCCACTGCTGCCTTGGACGCTGCCTGATCCCGATTCTCTCTGTGCTCTCAGGCTCCCCGAGGGCAGGTGGCTGTTTCTGTGTCCCCAGAGCCTGTCACAGAGCAAGCGTCCCATGTAAGAATCTCCCTCATGACTCCGGTGACTGTACTAACTTGCACGACGTGGGTGGCTTAGAAGAGACACTGCACACCGAGACTCGTCCCCACGCATTGTCACAGAGGCTAAGGCCCTTGTGGCATTCAGATCAGAGAAGATGAGCTGGCTGGCCCTTTCCTCTAGAGGGGCTCCTCTAATTCCTGCCAGACTCTGCCCATCTCCTTGGGGGGCCCCTCAGGCCCCTCTGACATCACAGCACGTGCGGGACCGCGGGGCTGTCCCCCTGGCCAGGAGCTCTTGGACAGCAAGCACTTCTGCGTGCCTGGCACCCAGCACAGAAGCCCCTTGAGATCTCCGGTGTGCGACTGTGACCCCCTCCTCCCGTGCCTCCCCTGGCACGTCAGGAGCACCAGCTCCAGACCCTGACCCTCCACCCTGTCGGCGCCCCTCACCTTCGGTGACAACATGGCCTGAGGACGGTCCCCCGTCTTAGAAAGCAGCAAGCCGTCCCTTGGGCCTTGGGCCTTGCCGTGCTCCCAGCCCTGCAGCCTCTCTCTGCCTACCTGGGAAAGAACAGGCCTCCCCTCCCCGCCCCCGGCTGAAGTCAGAGAAGCCTGGCCTCCAAGGGGGCAATCCTGGGCTTGGACCGATGGCCCGTGAGGTCAGACCACGACCCAGGCAGGCTCACTCAGAATCAAAACATGCAATCGATAGGCGGCGGCTCTTGAGCAACAGTGACCTCATCTGAGAACCACAGCAAGGCCTTCCTGGCAGGGAGCGGGATGAGGGACCCGTGCCCATCTCCCGGTCAGCCAGACGACTCTCCAGGTGCTTAGGACTTCAGTGCCCGTTCTAGGGCCTGCTCCAGACAGCGGGGTGTTTGCCCAGCACCAACGCATCTACAGCCTTCCTTCCAGACTCAAAACTCAGCTGGGGGCAAAGAACAAGCCGAAACAAAAGATGCCTAGGAAAGGCCGAGAGCCTGTAAAGGATGAAGTCCACTGACGGGGGAGAAAACCGGGACCCAGAGAGGTGACCGGCCAAGGTCCAGGACCGGGTCTGGCTGCTCCAAGGGGTTGCGGCTGTGGCTGGCTTCCCTGTGGCATTGCCCTGGTCCCCCAGTGGATTAAACCCTGCCTACTGGGGGCAGCCCTGAGCCCTCCAGTTAATTCTGTCAATCACTAGTTCACCAGTTCCGTGGGTGCTCTGCAGAAGAATAAGAAAAAGATTTCCCAATCGAAATCGTATCAGGAAAGCCTGAGCCAAAGTCAGTCTGACCAGGTCTCTGGACTGCAGTACTTCTCAGAGCCTTTATTATGCTAACACACACTGTGAATGTCAAGAGTCATGGGCCACAAGCCCTTGACTTCTGTTTGCACAGGGCAAGCCTTGGAAGCTCTCGTCTCGTCCTGGAACTCACGGGGACCCACCCGATTCTCAGGGGGCCTGGAGATAATGAAGCATATTACATAAACGAAGCTGACTTTCCTCCTCCTGAGATGAGAGGCAGCAGGGGCATCATCTGCACTGGGGATGGAGATGATGAGTGGTAACATCTAGTTTTAAGTAACGTGAATTTTGAGTAGAAGCAAGCATCTTGATCGCTATTTTACCGTGAGCTCAAATCCTCGTGCCTTGAAGACCAGGTCTTTATGTAGAAAAGTAGCTCTCTACCTTAAGTCAGCTCCTTAGTCTAGGACCCTACAAGTTACCTGCTGGAAAGTAAGATCAGTTGATCAGTTTAACAAAAATAATTTTTTATTAGCACCAGCAAGAGACTTCAATGTCACCAATAGATTTCATTTGGAAAGGTATTTTTGCTAAGTTCCAATCTGTAAAGATCTGTGTTCCTCCTGAAAGGATTTGCTGGCCTTAATTGTTTGTCCTAAAAGTATTTGCTATTTGAGCAGGCTGGAGCAAACCCAAAACAAATGGTTCCTTTTAGCCAGGAATGGCCTACTGAGGGATAAGGACGCTTCCCACCCCCACCCCCCCCAGCCCCCACCCCCCGCAAGGCTCACGAGAGAAGAGCCCTTGTGTGAGTGGACCCCAGCAGGGCCACACAAAGCTAAGCCTGACATATAAGCTGCCAGGGTCCACAAAACAGCCAGACTCAGGAGAGTGGGCACTGAGGACAGACATCAAAGCCAAGGAGCAGACCACAAGCCAAAAGATACAGAAAGTCCACCTTGAACTCCAGAGCCAGAGGATCACCCCATTCCTGGAAGCATGCAGTGCTGGGGGGTGGGGGCGAAGCAGGGCAGACACGAGAAAGAGAGAAAAGGAATAAAGGTGATGACAGGTCATGTGGCTATCGTGACCCAGGTGCCAGGCTGTTACTAGAGAAATCCACCATGACCCGATCACCACCACACCCCGAGGACCAGACTGAGAGTCCACCTTCCCAGGGACATGCAGGCGTCACACCAAGCACACTCACGGCAAACGTATAACCTACTCTTTAAATATTTCATTTTTTCCTTCAAACCTGCAATGTAATAAGGGGGAGTTATTGTATTGCATGAACACATGAAGCCAGGTTCAGATCTGGGAGCACCAGCATTTCCATTCGTCAATTTAAACAAGCAAATAAAAAAGCCTTATCGTTCCCAAGAGGGAGAAACTATGAATCGATACGTAAACAAATGAGCCATGGTAGATACAGAATTTACACTCCCATTTTCAGCGTTCGGACATAGAGTCACACGTTCCGTTGATTTCTGCGGAGTTCAAATGCCTAATTCTAAAGTCTCCAAAGTCGCCAAGCTTGTGTCTTGCACATTTGCAGCGCGCTCAGATTGTACGTGTACACAATTAATGGGCCCGAATGTCTCTGGAATCTGGGGTCTCTCCTCCCACAGCGCAGGAGAAGACAGAAATTCCAAATGCGAACACACGACCCAGAGCATGTTCAGTCTAACTCTCTGTGTATTTACTGGGCACAACTTAAAGACTTTAAGTTTTGAGGCTTTTCCCGGCCCCTGAAGGCATTTTCCAGCCTCACCTGGGCAGAGGGAGAAATGGGTTGGGCTGGGTGGGGGTGGGGACGGGGGTGGGGGATGGGGGGAATTGTCCATGCAGGATAGAACAGAAGCTGATAGAGAAGGCAGGCAGATCAAACAACCCTGAGACCCTACTGACCCCATTCTCCCTGCAGGTTTCTACAGGGTAAAAAACGCCAGATGTTCTAGAAATGCCACAGCCAGGACCATCCACAGGCCAAGGGGCAAGTGTCCTGCTGAGCTCAAAACGGGGTGTACAGCTCTGCCCAACATGTCCATCTAGATGCTCCACGGGGCTGGGTCCCTGCACCCTCGACAGGGCGAGCGATGGGCTAGAACCGGCTGAGAGGGGCCTGGGTAAGAACACGCCAGTGACCTACCTCCGTTGGCCAGGAGGTTCTCTGGAACCTTCCCCTTGGCGTCTTCCATGACTTCTACCACGCTCTGGGCCATCTTCTTTATGAGGCTTTGGGGAAAGAACACAAGGCTGTTAGACTGGGAATGTGCCCTCGGAACCCTCTTGACACGTCGCCCCCCGGGGGGTGGGGGTGGGGGAAGCGATGGGCACCACCCTCGGGGGGACTCTTTGGCAATATGTAGGCAGAAACTTCCTATGTGCAGAGCCCTTGAACCAGTATTTCCACTTCTGAGAAACTATCTTAAGGAAATAGGGTGAACAGGAAAACCTTTCTGAATAAAAAGATGTTCTTCGCAGCACTGTTGCTGAAAGTAACACACAGGAAACCATGGGAAGGCTCAACAATAGGGGATTGTTGGAAGCAAATGGGAGGTCTGACTGAGGGACTGTTGCGCACGCACTGGAAAGGTCTACAGAGAATTCCTAATACCGTGGAACAAGGCGCATATTATCATGTTACGTGGAAAAGAACCAAGATACAGATTTATACGGACAGCACACGGCTGGACCTACGTGGAAATGTTCTTCCCACCTTGTGTATTTTCAATGATAATCCATAATGATAATTCAGTACTGAATTAATGCGAAATGTAATTCAGTATGCTTTTATCGTTAGAAAATCAGAACCTGTAAGTCTCCACCGAAGGCTTCAGAAAGTACAAGAAACGATGAGCCGGCAAAATATACTGAGCTGTCAAATCACTATGTCGTACACCTGAAACTAATGTGACATTTGAAGATCCGAAAAAGAATAAAACAAAAGCGTCCCCCCTCCCAAAAAACCCAAAAACAAAAGTATGAGAAAAGAAAGGGAAGGGCAGGATTTCAAGGCAGAAGGACTCAAATTCACATGGCTCTACCAGTTACCAAATGTATCGCTTTTTATTTTGTTTTTAAATTTTAACTGGGCTCCACACCCAACCTGGGACTTCAACTCACCACCCTAATTAAGATCAAGAGTGGCATGTTCTACCAACAGAGCCAAACAGGCGCCCCCTGCAGCTTTTTTTCCTTTTCTTTTTTTAGGATTTTATTTATTTGTCAGAGAGAGAGAGAGAGAGAGCGCGCGCGTAAGCAGAGGGAGGGGCAGGCTCCCCGCGGAGCAGGGAGCCCAACGCGGGACTCGATCCCAAGACCCCGGGATCATGACCTGAGCCCAAGGCAGACGCTTAACCAACTGAGCCACCCAGGCGCCCCACCTTTTTCCTTTTTTTTTTTCAAAATAATCTCTACACCCAAGGTGGGGCTCACAACTGACAACCCCGAGATCAAGAGTCGCACGCTTTTCCCACTGAGCCAGCCAGGCGCCCCCCGAATGTGTGATTTTGGACATATTTGTCCAACCTCTCTGTGCCTCTGTTCTCTTCTCTGTAAAAGACGCAGATTATACCCATTTTGCAGGATTATTATAAATATTAATATAACTAAGCAGACTCCGAGGGTCTAGCAGCAGAGTGTCTGCTCCTGGGGGCTGAGCCCTGAGAAGTCCCTTGGAAAACATGCCAAACTAGGACCAAAGTCAGAAAGCACTCAAGATCCACAGCTTTGCCTCAGGCCACCTCTCCACCTGCCCCCACCCCCAGGAGGGAGGCAGCCTCTGCAGGGAGCCTGGATCAGTCACCGAATTGCAGATGGGAGGAACGGCCTTCTGCTGTTGCAGGGACCAGCCAGGCCGGCTACTCAGAGCATGAGGCCAGGGGCCTAGGGGCCAACACAGGAAACTGAGGCCGAAAGGCACCGAAAGGTCCCAGATTTGAGGGAGGGGGAGAGAGGGAGAAAGGGAGGGGGAGGGGGGGAGAGAGGAAGGAACTTGTTTTCCCACCAGAGTAATATGTATTCATGGTTAAAATCTGAAAAATTGCCAAAAAATAAAACCATACTCCTCTGCCCAAGAGAAAACACACACTTTGCATTCTGGAATATTTCCAAAGCCTTAACATGTCCACAGCTTATGTGAGCTGAGATTTTCTTTTGATTAACACCTACCACTTCAGTGGAGTCTACCAGGTACCAAATCTCTGTAACCATTACCTCATTTAACCCTCACAAACCTTCTTGAAGGCGCGTATTATCATGAGGCCCAGAGAAGTAAGTTGACCCCATTCGCCCACCCGGTCCATCTGAGGACTCCGAGGCTCTCAGCCACTCAGCCACGCTGCTGTCCACCGTCACTGAGACCCAACCTGGACTTAAATCTCTACAAATGTGTTGGCATTTCCTAGAACACTAGCTTTGTACTGTACTAATTGTAACGAATTATAATTACCCTACTCACTAGTTACCCAACTAATCTCATTCTGTTTCCTCAGCTGTCAAATGGGGACGGTACTGCTCACCTCACAAGGTCATCTGTGGAGCTCGATGCAAAGCCTGCGCTGTTCCGGGCGCACGGAGTTCGTGGCAAGCATCACATGTGCTCCAGGCAGCCTGGTGGACCGCAGCCGGGTCTCGCCTCTGGCTCATGGAGAGATTCGGCAGGAGACTGGGGAGGGTGGGAACCGTGAGTCTGGTTCCCTCTCAGTTCCCGGAACCTCTCTCCGCTCTTCCCCTCCAGCCTTGGGGGTGTGACAATGCCTCTCCATCTGCCTGGGTTTGTACACCATCCCTTGTGGGTCATCTACAGCCCACACGCGACTGTTCACCCCTTTATCAACAGACTCCTCAAATTCTGCGTGTCTTCTGTTAGCTGTTAAGACCCTGACTCGCTAAATTCATTTATTCACGTGTTCACTCATTCATTCAGCAAATTCCATATGTTAAGCAACTGGGTGCCCAGCACTGTTCATGGCGCTGTGAACTAAACAAAATCCCTGCTCTCAGGAAGCTTCTATTCTCATGCTGTCAACAATTCCTCTTTATCATTGCTCTGGTGGTGCATCAAGTCGCCACCTCCATATCCTCTGTGGCACTGTGAGTAATTGCTTACCTAAAGGTAGTAGTAACTCTCACCCCTACCCCAATGCCCGACGCACGGCTCAAGAAATGTTTGTTGAGCGAATAAGTAAATTCTGACACTCCCCGGCACCTAAATGCCACCACATGCTTGCTTCCTCAGTCAACTGCAAAAGAGAACTCACTCCTCGTTTTGTTAACGACTTCTTGCTGCTCCCGATTCTAGACCGTATGGCGCTTTTCACTGTAAGAAGATGGCCGCACGCGTGCCCTCAGGCGTGTTCACCACCTCGGAACATCTCAGAATAACATGGTCTGATGAAGTTTAACTGCTGGGAAGCTCCCTTACTGCACAGAACAAAAGGGGCCCGGACTTAGTTGTGATGACTAATGACAGTCTTCAGCCAACTGTGACCTTACTGAATCAGAGTATTTTTCTCATCAGAAGGAACCTAAGAGACTACGTGACGTTTTACTTTTCTGACTCCATGGTTCACGGTCAACACATTTCCGTGAACAGAGCTTCCCAGTTCCTGGGATCTATCGCATGGTATTTTGCTGAGTGCCTGTATCGTAAATATTTCCCTACTCGTGACACATGGGTTGTTTCCCCCGTGATAGGATGTTGCAACGATACCCGTATTTTGCCCACTTGTGTAGGCAGAATGAGCTGTTAAAGAGTAACCAGTGGAATAAAAGGTATAAACATTGATAATTTTAACAAACAGGCCAAGCAACTCTCCAAATACACAGAGCCGGCATACACCCCCACCGATATTGGGCAAGAGCGCCTGCTTCCCTAAACCGTCGCCAACATCAGGTGTCATGAATGTTTCATCTCTGCCGATCTGATAGCTGAAGAATTATATTGCATTGTTGCTCTGATTTGCATCTCTTTGATCATCACGGAGGCTGGACATCATTTCATAGGTTTGCTAACACTATAAATGGTCTGTTTTCTTCTTCTGTGAATAGCATGTTCATGCCCTCCTTTGCTGGTTTTTCTGCTGGTTTTGTTCCTTTTTTTTTTTTAAAGATTTTATTTATTTATTCATGAGAGACAGAGGAGGAGAGAGAGAGAGGGAGAGGGAGAAGCAGAGGGAGAAGCAGGCTCCCAAGGAGCAGGGAGCCCGATGCGGGACTCGATCCCAGGACCCTGGGATCATGACCTGAGCCGAAGGCAGACGCTTAACCATCTGAGCCACCCAGGCGCCCTGGTTTTGTTCCTTTTTAAAAAAAAAAAAAATACTGACTTGTAAGGGCTCTTAAGTACCTCAGGAACTCAACTCTTGAGACAGTGCTTTGAGCTGGGTAACATCCCCATCTGAAAGGTGAAAACATGAAGACTTACATCGCCGAAAGTCACCATGTGCAGGGTGACACATGTCAAAGCAGAAATAGATCCCAAATCTACACGACTCCAAAGTCCTTGCTCTTCAATGCTAGTTTAAATTACACTCAGCACTTTCCTCTAAAGCACTCGATGAAGATGTATACTAATCCATAAGGGAGGATGTGCAAATCGTATCTTTAATTTAAAAAGCAATGCAAACACCGTGTAGTCTTTTTTTTTTTTTTTAAAGATTTCATTTATTTAACAGAGACAGCGAGAGAGGGAACACAAGTAGGGGCAGAGGGACAGGGAGAAGCAGGTCCCCCGCGGAGCACGGAGCCTGATGCGGGGCTTGATCCCAGGACCCTGGAATCATGACCCAAGCCGAAGGCAGATGCCCAATGACTGAGCCAATCTTGACTGGGGTCTTGGGTACATCAGTGTCTGTCTCGTTGATGTAACTAGAGGAATTCTGGAGTTACGGAAGGCTTGCAAATTCCAGGGGGAAGGCTTGAACCATAAATTGTGGTTAATTTGGGCCAATTTCGGCTCTTAGCACAGCAGCAGCAACCCTTTCCAAACCCTCAGCCACATGGGAGGCCCCTGTGTGTTCCTGGAGCAACTTGCACACAATCTGTAGGAGCCAGGGTGGGCGTAAAAGACCCTGTTCTCGAGATACTGGGGATCTGTGTTCTGATGGCTGCTTTTGATCACAGCGGTACAAAGAGCGGGGTGGTCATTGTAGTTACCCCTCCCCGCCTACTCCCACAAACTCCTCTCCCTTCAGCTACACAGACTTCCAAGGGACTTAAAGAGCCTGTGT